GTTCCCGCTCTAAAAAGATATATCATGTTTGCACTTTCAAAATCAGCAACTGATTTAACCAGAAGTAAACTGCACTGGAATATATTCTTCACATGATAATTTACATTTCATACTGCCAGTAGTCATACATCAAAATTACCCCGGGAGTTCCGTCTACAAAGCTCCTGTATTAAAAGACATATTAAACTTTCCATCTTCTTTTATCTGGTAAACAAATAACGCTCATTTGGAGTGATCTTTATTCATCCTTTCAGGATTCTGAAGCAATGATGAAGAATACTAATGAAGCAAACGTTGTACAGAACCACTCCACCCACTCTTAGTGGAAGGCATTGAATAAACTTCCAACAGAGGCGTTGTCTCTCAGTCAGATAACAGAACAAGAACTAAGTTACCATCCCAGATGCCATGGGCTTGCAGGAACGTATTCATGGAAGGAAAATTATTAGAAAAAATAATAATTCTAACCACAGCAAAAGCTTCTAGTTGCAAGATCATCTTGGATTCTATGGGCGTTCTTGGTTTTTGAGGTTTGAGCAAGAAAGGGTAAATGACCCAACAAGAGATTTTGCGCTGATACAAAGTGTATCAATTATTAGGTAGGAACGCCTGGTTATTATGGAAGTGATAAGCACGTTTTTGTGGTTGGAAGCGGTTAGTGAATTGATGGAAATTATTAATTAGAAAAGGTTATTTAAATTAATATCTCTGGATAAGTACCAAAAACACTACAGAATGAAAGGTGGGAGATTTCAGTTCTATAAAGCATTAAATGTGGATATTTGAATTAACAATTCCAATTAGTTTTAATTCTAATGATAAATTGGTGTACTTTTCAATCCCTACTATTAGTTCACACTCTCCTTAAATATATATATAATACATATATCAGTAGCGCACACAAAAAATTTTCAAGGCGGGTGTCCATGGTCGAAAGTCTTCCAACTCGTATCATACCTCAAGACAACACCAATTGATTGTTCTGATTTTGTCAATTTTGTCAACAAAAAAACAGTAAAAAATAAATTATTGAATTAATAATTATCATTACATAATAAAATAAATTGTTAATTACAAGTACTTAATTAAATTTTGCGTTATATATATATAGGATTATCATCAATCGAAAAAAACTCATGGGCTTTGAGGGGGATCCGAACCCCTAGGACACCCCCCTTGTGTGCGCCATTGATATATATATATATATACCTTGTTCAAATTTTCACTCGTTAATAGAATACTTTTTATTCATCTACTCAAGTTCAAATACATTTTTTTAAACTTGTAGTGGATGACACTTAATATTAATGCAGTTTTTTCAAGCAATAATTCATTAATTATATTTAATTAATGAATTAATTGTCACAAACAAAAATAAAAGTCCAACACCATATATAAAAAGGAAAATCACTCGTAGTGTCCCTGTAGCGCAATGGATAGCGCGTTGGACTTCTAATCCAAAGGTCGAAGGTTTCTAATTACACCTGGGATGGCCTGATTTCTGAGAATGTGATTTCTTTCTACTATTTTATTTCAATAATTAAATTTAATTAATGAATAAATAGTAACAACAAAAAAAAAGTACAACACACACACTGTATGTATAATGGAAAATTGGAAGAAAAATAGCTTTCTATTTTTCCACTTAATATCGTGATTCTGTCAAATGTATATACATATTTATATTAATTGTAATTATTTAGTAAAAATAACTAAAATAAAATTTTTCTTTGTTGACCCTAGTAGAAATTGACTTAATTTTTTTTTATATTACTTGTTTAATATATAGTATAAAATTAAATGGCAATTATTTTAAACATAAAAAAAGAGGGAGATGCATTTAAAAAAATGCTCGCATTCAAATACATATACTAAGAATTTTTTCAAAAGTTGTAAAAATATGTTTTTTTATATAAGTTATAATATTTTTATACTCTTTTTTTCATCATTGTTGCCCTTGGGATTTTGCCTTAATACGACTGTATGAAACGCATGTTCATTTTCCATCAGCCATTAACCCTAGATTCTTTATCATGGTTAACATCAACAATAACAAAACATTATAACTATAATAATGGTCTTACATCGATAAATATAAGACCTATGTATAAAACGGGAGAATTCAACTTTTGTTAACTTGAGACCCAAGTTTATACTCAGTCACACTCACAACTATTTAAGCCTTAATGGGGGGAAAAACTATTCGAATGACAAACAGTCCTTTAAAACCATTTATTGTTACGAAGATTTAAGGCTACCTGCACAATGTCATAATTTTTCTTCAACATTTTGACGTCTCCACAAATGTGTCCGGTTGACACTTGACATCAACATTGGTGGCGCAATTGTTTCCTGAGCATTTTCTCGTCACTTCTCATTATGGGGAAGGGGGATGCACTCAAGGCTTACGAAATATGTTTAATTACCCATCAACTGCGATGGGAAAGTATCTAAACATTCGAGTCACGCCCGGCAATGTCCCATTCCACGGAATTACATCAAAACAAACATCCAGGGAGAAAAAAAATAGGGTGAAAGAGAAAAAGAACGAAATTTTTTTATTTTATATATATATAATTTACTTCCTTCAATCTCCCATTGTTAAAACCATCGCTATGTATGCCAAAAGGAAATTGTAAAAGGTCAATAAACTACATAAGGCCAACCACCCCGAAACATTTTTAAGCACCCCTATAGGCGCCGTTTAAAGCCACATAAAAGTTAATTCAGGCACTCTTTAGATCAACAGGTCAACCCTGAAACGCTATCACACAAAGACAACTCCCCTTCTTCTAAAAAAACAAGACATGACGTTTCCGTTTCGAGTACATAAGAATTCTGGACACAAATTTCAAATTTGGTAAGTTATCATCAACGGGCCAATGACCGTGGATTAAGTCGTAGTAATTAGAGAGCTCTTTTTACTGTAGTTTTTAATATGAAAGAATGGCCCCGAAAAATCTGGCGTCAAATCTGAAGAGCGGAAAGGGGCCCCTTCTGGGACCAAAACACATGGTTTTTCTTTATCTCGCATCCTGCTCAACTATTTTTTTCCTTTTCTTGTAACCACTAAATTAATAATTTACAGCAACAATCCTTTTCTTCTTTGTTTGAGGTCGACTTTATGAAGCGTGAGAATGGAGGTATAAAAAAATAACCTGTAAGTGACCCTTGAGAACGGGCGGTACAAAGTTTAGAGTTGAGATATCTTTAAAAAAATATGTCGCGATGTTCCACCCATGAAAAAGAAAAACACCCCCCCCCCCCCATCTTTGTGTAAAAACATATATTCTTTACAAGTGGTGCAGGAGCTTAGAAAATAATTTAAAGTTTGAGAAATTTCAGACTTTGAAATTTTGGTATAGTAGATTGATTGACTTATTTCTAAGAATGAAGAATATGCTGATATTGTGAAGAAAAGACTCAAGAAAAAAATTTGTTTTAAGAAAATATTATCACCATTTAAAACTTCCTAATTTTTAAAAGCACTTTTATGGGGTGAAAAATATGTGCATTGAGAGTGTGCAACAGTATACTCTCTCTCTCAAAAGCTATATTACAATTGAATAAAAACTTTGATGACCAAAAAAAAAAAATCAAATCATCACATGGTTTGCCATACTGAGTTTTGATTGCTCTCGTTTAAGGACGATGGTTAAAGTAATCGAAAAATAACGGTACTTCATTTCAAAATTTGAGACATGCTCCAAATATACGCACCGGTCTCTTTAAGATAATGATTAAATTTTTTTACAATAAGCAAATTTATTTATATTTTTTTCTATTGTTTTGACATTTAAAAATAGTTGTTTTAGATACAGAACCGATTCTTTCCTGATATATTGACCACCTTCATAAATTAACTTTCACAGACCAGAGATGTATACTCCTGTTATATTTAATAGAAGATAAACTTCACTGTGTTGATCATTTTTATCCACGTCCCACAAGAAACATTAAATTATTTCCATTTACTGTGGTATATTTCTTTCGGATTTGGGCGACTTTTTAAGGATATCACTTTATATTCGTTGTTAAATCACTTTAAATTCGTTTTTTAGGCCACGGTAGCCTAGTGGTCAAGGTATTCGATCGTGGCTGGCATGTCATGAGTTCGAGCCCACTACCACTAAAGACCCACTGTGTAGTAGGGGAGCGATGCATGTTAAATCTGTCAAGAACTCAAACGTCCTCCCGTTGGTGTGGTTTGGTAGTTAGGAGAGAGGGGTGCCAGCTCAGGTGTCACTTGACCATGGTTCAAAAATAAGAGGTCCGTTGCCAAAAGCCCTCGTGTCGCGACACTGCGACGTTAATATTCCCTCACTCACTACATTCGTTTTTTTTAGTATATTTGTATTTTATTCTGAAATCACGTTTAAATACAATCATATTAAAATTATTATACGAAAACAATATAAAGTGTAAACTATCAACCTCTCTCCCTCACAGCGGACCGCGGTAAAATTATCAAATGCTGACCAGTTCGCGGCAATGAAAAGGTTGCGGAGCATGTCCTACAGTATAAAATAATTATAATGAAAAGGAGCCCTAAAAACTCGTCTCGAACGCCCATTAAGAATACATTGCTATTCATAGGCTATCTAAAACCATACTGTCATCACCTTTAGCAAGTCAGTATCAGCGTTACCAAATCCATCACAGAATCATATGACAAAAAAATTACAAAAGCCGAACAAGCATTGAAAAGGAGCAAGAGAAGGCTCCTTAAGATACAATTGTGTCAGCAACTGTATCCATCACGTTCTGACTCACGAAAACTGACAAAGGACATCCCCATCTTGAGGGGAGCTTTCGAAAGCACATAAGAGATGGGGAAGAGATGTTTTTTTCGGTGGAAGGCCCTCACCGTTGTCCAAATAATGGGATAAAACTCGGCTTTCATGGTCTTTTATAAATTTCCCGTGCTTGTGATTTCAAGGCAGTTTTTTTTTAAATCCTTCGCATGATATATGTAGAGAAAAATATCTTGCGATCAGTCAACATACTCTTTATTCATCCTTGACTATTGATCAAGTCTTACCCTCCAGCGATGATTCATAGATGATGTTTATGTTGGGAATAGGTTTTTATACTCTCAAAAATGTTTATAATATCTGAAAGAGAAGATATGTCTTCTTTTTCTATTTTTAGAATGAATTGTTAAATTTTCGCTTAAAAGGATTCACGGTAAAAAATAATAAGAGACAAAAAACTCCTAAATATTATATCATATTCAGTGATGTGTATGAACTATATATTACTTTATATCTTTATAATATACTAGCCCAGGGGTCGGCAACCTATGGCACGCGTGCCACATGTGGCACGTGGTTCAATTCTCAGTGGCACTCTGCAAATTTGTCAATTTTTGACTGGATAAATTTGGACTTTACTTGACAAACATCTTCAGAGTTATGGACATTATAGAAATAATAAATAATTCTAAATCTAATAAATAACTCTAAAAAATAACTCTTAAAGATAAATGTACAGCTATTTTGTAAATTATTGAGTGTCACTCACTGCTGGAGAGGTTTAATTGTTTGAAGAGAGGAAATTGCAGGCACTCTGCTTTTCGCTTTTGGTTCTACATATTAAATAACAATGTTTTCCTCATATAAAAAATACTTCGAGACAATGAGAAATTATTTAACAACTGAATACTCAGAATTGTGTCAAATTGAAAATCACACATTAGGCCCCTGATTTTGCGATATGAAAGTAGAGTGGTGTAAAACACTAGGTTCGCACATTAAAATTTTTATTTATCTTTTTATTTAACTATAATGAAGGGAAATACTTATACTTTACGCGTTGTCCATTTCTTATTTTAATAAATACGTTTAAAAATACATAATATATGTACAATTTTTGTTTTTTTATTTATGTTGAAAAATAGTTATATTTTATGATGTCCATTTTTATGTTAAGTAATAACCTTTAAAAGATAAAAAAAATTAATAAATAATAAGACTGTAAATATCTATATTATTGACCTCTATTATCTTACTCTGTATGCATTATCGGGGGAATAGGATTGTTTCAAAAATATGCTACTGTATGGCACGCTGAATCCTATTGGTAGATTGGCTTGGCACGCCACAGCTTAAAGGTTGCCGACCCCTGTACTAGCCAATATCATATTCAGTGATGTGTTTTATTTATATATAAGTTTTTGCATTTATAATATACTAGCCATTACACACCAGCTTCGATGGGTATTTTAAGATAATGTATGAGTGTATATATACTAGCTTGTATACCCGTTCTTCGCACGAGTGAATTGAAAAATTAAGCAATACAGATTGTGAAGTGTAAAGAAGTTTTTAATGAGAAATCTTAGATATACAATAAAAGCTTTTTGCATATCTTAGATGAACAAAACAAACCATATTTGTTAAATTTTAAGCCTGTAGATCTAAGAGCTGATAAAAAGGATTTTTTTTAATTTATAACGCACCGCGTAATTCTTTTGTGGGTCGATTTTTGAAA